ATCAATTTCACATTCAACACATAATCATCATATCAATTCACATATAAGCAAGTGGAACAAGTTACATATAACATGCACTTGCTTGATTGGGATTTAGGCCTACCCACGACCCTTTCACTAAGGCATCCTCTATGAGATGCAACATCATATATATATACAAGCAAGGTTTTCACTACGCAATTCATATACATACTCACTTTTGCATGCTAGTTGGCAACTCAAACTCTAACAATATATTATACGTTCATTTCACTCAAAGGTAGTCCTACCACTACCAAGTAAAGCTATTCTTTCCTTACTTACTTTCCCAACTTTCTCATGCTCTCTTCACTTGTGTTTAAAAGTAATGAAGTGAGACATATGTCCCAATAACTCAGAGGTAACCCCAATTACCGATTAGTAAGCAAAATCATAAACAACAGATAAAGTACCATGTGTTTTAATAAAAAGCGATATCATATACATATACAATAATTCATTCTCATCAATCTCATCATGCTTTTGCTAATGCCTTCTTGGTTCCACCTAGCTGAGTAATCTCTATGCTCGGACCAAGACTTTTAGTTACATGGAACAGGGCCCACCATACAACTGCTCAAACCAAGTAATCCTTTTTGCATATGAATAGTCTCCTAGGTCCATCGTGGTAGAGTTAAACTCTATACTCGGATTATCAGGACTTCTTAGCTTTATACAAAGTAAGACCATGACCCCCTACTCTAGTCTAGGATAACCTCATAGATCATCCATATCCTAAGTCCGTTATTGTGGAGTCAAGCTCTACACTCTAGATCATCAAGATTCCTTTCCTTAGTCTGTCCTAGTGGAGTCAGCTTTATACTCTAAATTATCAGGACTTCTTGGACCTCCTCACGGTAGGGCTACGTCCCCCCCTACCATAATCCAAAGTTTTTCTCATAGATGTGATGTATGTCAATACACATACCACCTTAAATTCATTTCAATCAATACTCTACACTTGCATGCATATTCCTTTACAATGCTGCTACTTTATTAGTTCACAATACAGTGCATGTGCTTATATAAAAATACTTATAAACATTTTTACAAACAAACAAGTAAAAAGGGTTACTCTAGTTACCTTTAACATTTACTACTAAAGGTTACTAATCCTACTAAGCTCCCAGAGGTATAGATTCTCATGAGTAATGTCATAGGTGCTCAATCAACATTAACACAATGCCCCCCAGTCAATTCTTAACCTTTCCAATAAGCATTAATTCAGCTAAACTGAATCCTTAAGCATACAATGGTCCAATTATTGCCTTTTGAATTCACAAGTCTATTATTTACAGTCGTTAGCCTATAGGCTATTTAAATAATCATAACAACCTCCTAATTCATTTATTCAACTAATTTCATCCTTTCAACCTATTTTTTAGGCTATTTTGAGCCTAAAAACTCTTAAAGCTCAACCATTCAACTCCATACTAATCAAAAAACCTTAATTTTGTATTCGATAGCCTATTTTAGACCTCTCTTTTACATTCCAATACCTTAAAACTTTATGATTTGATTTCTCAACTGATGAAATTCAATAAAAAATGGGAAAGAAATAAAGCTTAGGGTTGCACGTTACTTGCCTAACAAGTCACTAATCGAAGCAAACTATCGAGCTTTAGATATTGCTTGCCATAACAGAGCTGACCTCCT